AAAGTGGAGGCTTTACTTCTGGTTTACCTGTTGTGACCCTAATTTTATGTTCTTCCCCTGTGAGATCTACTAATAATAGCAATATGCCAATATGTATTTGTGGTCTAGTACTAACAGATTTAGTTAAAATACTTAGAGTTCAATCGGTGTGTGCTCTACAGTTGATCAGACTTAGCATGGGTCCAATCCAAAAATCAGTTAGTCATCTTTGAGAAAGTTCACGTCAAATTTCCTTAACTGCTCCCAGATCTCTTCCTCACACTGACAAGGACATTTACGGTCTCCTGTATTTTTGCTTTAAATGGAGTTTTATAGACAAATGAATGACAGGTTCCTGTCCAGAAGAATTTACAATAGAATATAATTAAATCCCTTGCTATTCTGCACCACAAATAATCGTAAATAATAATGTCTCTTGACACACGTAGTGGCACTTTATCTTCAAAGTACTTTGCAAATCTAAACGGTCATTGTCTGTCTTAATAAAATATTTCCTGCTTAAATTGTCAGCCTTTAAGCTACCCTCAGACTCCATAATCAGCCAGCATTGCCTAGGCTGATTTTTCTGCCGAACCAGAGGGGGTTGTTGCCTTCGTGCGTCACCTTTCCTGCTTGCTGCTTGCACAGAGTCACACCTTGTCCTTTGTATAGAGGAAGCAGAGCTGTCGTAAACCTTGGCCCAGCAAGCTTCTGTATCCTCTCTGGCTGAAGTCAGCCATGTCAAATGTAGTCATTTAACAGAATAATAGCTAAAAGCCACTGGTAGAAAAGCAGCATCTGCTTGCTAAGTCGGCACTGCTTTAGGATGCTTGTAGCATCTGTGGGGCTGTAGCACAAGAGGTAGGAATAGCTCCATTGATGGTCAGAAATTACATTTATTCAAAAGCAGTTCTTCAGTTCTTTCTTTTGGTGGTGTTTACACAGAAGTGAAGTAGTAGAAGATTTTGTGTTTAGTAGAATTATACTTTGAATTCCCATTCTCTAGCCCTCAGAGTGCATATAAGGGTAAAAAATAAATGCATTTTATTTCTATTTAGTTGGATCAGAACCTGAATAGGAACTCTTCCGCAGTCGTGAACTTCTGTTAGAGCATAACATCGCTTCCTGTAGTTAGTGCCCATCTTGTTGTGATGTGTCAGTCAGTACCTGACCTGCGGCTGGTAGGCAGCGTTCTGTGTTTTGAATTTCAGTGAGGGAAAAAGCGTGTTTCCAGCATGTTACTTGTTCCGCTGTTTCTTGTGGGACACCCGAGTTCAAACGCTGGTGCCTTGAGCAGTCTTGTGAATAGTCTGTCTCATTTCCCTTCGAAGATCCAGTTCCTTTTTGCTCACTGCGTCCACAGTACGGCACGTCTGGTACAACATTTCTCAGCCCCCTCAGAAGCGGAGCATACCTGGGACGTCCCTGTTCAGGTCAGCTTGGGAGCTGGAAGCACCTCTGTTTGCACAGAGCTGGGGACAGAGCAGGAGGACGAGCCGGCGGCTGCGGGGCTGGCTGTGGGCAGCTCTGGAAGGCAGCAGTTCCGTGGGCAGGGAGAGCCCGCATCCTGCCTCCCGCTGAGGGAACTGAGCTGCTGTTAATTGAAACCTGGTGACGCCATCGCTGCCTCCCACTGAATTTGGGTAGAGAAACACTCGCCTAGTCTCCTGTCCTGTCTGCCATGCTGCAGTTCATGTAATGCCTCAGAGGGAGTTAGAGCTCATTAATTTTCCTGCCTTTCCTGGGGATTATCTGTGAAGTCCCTGCTAAAGTGTATTGCTGTTAACGACTCAAAATAGGAATATGCAGACAGTCATACGCCTCTGACCTTGCAAAGTTTTAGACCCCAGGGATGCTGTATGGCATTGAGCTCCAGAGTTTAATTATGAGAAGTAGTATTTATGTACTAAGCTGAGACTTTGACGTGTTGCTAACTTCATTGATCCACCTCCTGTTCTTGTAAAAACAAAGTCTCTGATCAAATTGCTGTAACCACTGATTGATTTGTACTGGTATAGTTTCATTATTTTGTGATGTAAAACAAACAAACAACCCCACAAAAGCCCTCTTTCATCTTACTCTTTCTCAATCACTTTTTTGTTAGAATTATTACAACTTCTCTATGAATCTTTGTTCCACCTTGCTACGAATTCTCTGTTTGCGACTGGCTGGTACCTCAGCCTCCTAGAACAGGCAGCGGTGTTTGCTTTTATATACCAGCATTGTGTTTTTAATTATTTCTTCCGTCCTGTTCCTTCTGTGTGTTAATGTTGGGTTTGCTTTTATTAACTGCAGTGTTGCACTGAATTAAGGGTTGTCTTCAGGGATATCTTTTGAGGCACACTATCAGTTTCCTTTCCTGAGCTCCAGTCTTGCAAGTAGTATTGTTAGCCTAAGTGAAGGTACAAATATTAAAAGCATAAAGAGATGTATTAGCAAGAGAGTGTAGCATATTGCATTAGGGGATGAGAGGAGGAGTTTGTGTAAATTTTTTTTGTGTTTCTTTCAAACTGATTTCTAGTTTCTTCTGGAAAGTCTAATGTTGTTGATAGAAGAGTTGACAAATTCAGGTCTCCTTAAAATGAAAATTAATCTGAAAAGTTGCAAGTCTGGGTATTTGTTTTGAGCCCTTCCCCCGCATTTGTCATATTTGAAAACTTTAGGACATATATTTTTGTTTCTTTTGTACAACTACAGGATCTGGAAATGTCTTTGAAAGCTGAAACAGCCGGGCTTTTTACAGTAACAGCTGAGACTGAGGGAGCTATAGTAGAGTAGCCAGTATTGACACAGCTGAAGTTCAGGATTTTTTTGTGTGTTAATTTTAAGTGTAAGTCAAACCTCGCAAGTGTTAGCTCATTTATAGCCAGCTTTCATGTGCTGTACATATTGATACATCTCTTATTTACAAGGAGAACTTAATGTATGCCTTATTCATGTGCTGTACATATTGATACATCTCTTATTTACAAGAACTTAATTTATGCCTTAGTGCTTTTTCCCATCCTGGCCATTACCGCTAGCTGCTGCTTTTGTTTCTCTGATGAATTGATTTAAAGTTGAAGTGTTAAAAATAGTGGTCAGTGGGGATGCATGTGCGGTTCCCTTCATATCCAAAGCTTCCCCCCAATATGTGGCCTGCAGCACTCTTGGGGGGCCTCTAAATCCCAGCCTCCCAGGACAGAGGTGAAATCCTCTTGTTCATGAAGATGTTGGTGCAGCTGGGGCTGTTGTCAGTGTTTCATACATCCATGTATCGTGGCGGGGGTGCAGGGATGCTACAGGCTCTTGCTTGTTCACTAGTGCATCCCAAGGTGCTACACTGGGAGAAGTGAATAGGCTGGAGCAAAGGGGAGATGTTATTAAAGGAAAAAAAACCCAAACAGGCACAGAAGGTGAGGAAGAGGAGAGCCCACGGTGTGTCTTAGTGCTGCTGTTGGAGGGTGTCTCGGTTCATAGCTGAGCTTTCTTGCTTTGGTTTTCTAAACATCTTCCAACTGCTTGTAAGGACTTCAGGAAAAGGCTGATCTGCATATTTTTAATATTCCTTGTGACAAACCTTATCAAAACAGTTTTATATAGTTTAACTTCTTTGCTTCCATGCATTTTTCTGTGAGGCATTTATAGGCTGTGAAAGGTGCTTACCAAGGCTTCAGAAATAAAATACTTGAGACTAACATCTCAAATTGCTGAAGGCTGTTAGTCTCAGTGCAGTTGTTTTTAACATGGGCCAGCAAAGATAGATTAACGTTTTCCTTGGTCAGATATAAACCATCAGGCTTTGATGTGTTGATGTGTTCAGAGAATTGTCTTTATTGTAAACTGGGGGAAGATTAGGCTTAAGTGTGAAATATAAAGTATACAAATAAAGGCCTTTGAGGTATTCAGGGAGAAGTTATTCACTTAAATGATTTGGAGTTTGTCTTCCTAGTAAAATAGAGAGCAAAACCATCCTATGGGTGGTACTAACATTTTTGTAAATATGGTCAGATTCGGTGCATACAAGTTGATGCCTGGGCAGGAGAGGAAGGGGCTTTGGTTTCCCCTCCTCCCCGCTGTGACCTGATGAGCAGGTTGTGTTCAGCATTTCTCTATTGACAGACTTGAAAGCTTTGCTCAGCCTCACAAGTTCAGGGTCTCAGGGTTGTTCCAGCTCATACATTAATGAAAAATCTCCCTAAAGATGTGTGAGGAACTAGTGTGTCTTGTCCAACACTTGAAAACAGGACGGCGCTCTGACGTGTGAGTTCATTCTTGATCTTACATGTGTATCAAGATGCAGAAATTCCCATTATTCTGTTTCTTATGTTTGAAGAGTTGGATCAAAGCAGTAAAAAATGAATATTCATGGTCTCTGGTTTGGCTAACAGTTCATGTTATCTGTTGGCCTCTTGTCCTGGTTTCAGCTGGGATAGAGTTAATTTTCTTCCTAGTAGCTGGTACAGTGCTGTGTTTTGGACTTAGTGTGAGAATAATGTGATAACACACCGATATTTTAGTTGTTGCTGAGCAGTGCTTATACTAAGTCAAGGACTTTTCAGCTTCCCAT